GGTGTTGGGGGGATAAGTTGGAAGTTAACCCTAATGTCTAAGGACTGTGTGCCTGGTTTATCTTTATGGCAACTCAGTACCCTGATGAGTGGGGAAGAATATGGAACATGTCAAAACCAGGTCTGTAAAGTGGCTGGGCTAAGTGAAATCTCACATCAATTCAGGAGCTATTTTGAATGGAAATCACCCAAAGGCTTCTGCAGCCAGACCAGGAAGAGAACAAAGTGTAAAACAGAGAGCTCTGTTTAGTTGGTCTGTATGATGTGATATGAAAGTTTGTCCTTTATGTGGTTCATGAGTTCAGAGAAGCTATTAGCATCCCCCTGTTGCCAATCAAACACTATGGTGGAAATGGATCATAAACTTGCAACAAATTTGGGCAAGTGTTGGGATTTTTCCTTTCCTGCAATATGGGCTATTGGTGGATGATAGAATTTCTCAGGGAAAAGGAAATTTATTTGTCCATTGAATCAATTATTATGGAAATACAGTTATTCAATATAATTAAAAATGTGCTTATAAAGGTACATCAGTGATGTGATTTGACAATTTAAATTTAGATTAAAGGCTCTTTTTGAAAAACAATTTCAAGATATTTCCTAATGTCATGCTTGCTTCAGCAACACGTATACTAAAATTGGAACAATACAGAGAAGATGAGCATGGCCCCTGTGCAAGGATGACACGCAAATTCGTGAAGCGTTCCATGTTTTTGTCTCTAGTTTTATAAACATATGTGTATTCAAAATAAAAAAAAAAGATATTTCCTAATGTTGTTTATGGTAAAGATGAATAACGTCCTGCCAGGTTTTCTCTTTGTCTGGAAGGAAGTCCGAGCTGGGCTCTGTGCAGTCTCCTTACACTAACAAGAGCCTCAAGGTAACATTTCATCTTCTCTCACAGCCCCTCCCAATGAAAACTGCCCCTTTCGGTCATATTCAAAAACTTTTAATTTCCTAGCTATTCTTGTTTATTATCTCTTGATCATCGCCCTTGATAAGTTTATCCTCTCTGGAATGTGTTTTCTTGCCATCTCCCACTTTTAAAATCCTACGCATCCTTCAAGTGTATGTCCCAAATCCAATTTCCATGATGTTGGAAGTGACTTTTTTTTATCCGTCATGTGGTTTTACAAGCTCTTTCATTGTTTTTTAAATGTTATTTTCTCCAATACAAAACTTAACACTTTTAGCTCTGCAGAAAATCATATCATTTTTAATTCATTCTGCAATGTCACCAGAAAGTGGACATTCTGCTTTTCCTTGAACAGTCTTTGTAATAAGGAATACTTGATGCCTTGAAGCAGGCTGTTTCAGTTTGGGAAACCTCTAATTTCTAGTTCTCCCTTACATAGAGCTGAAATTTGTTTTTGAATAAATTCTAACCGTTGGTCCTAAATCGGCCTTTACACATGGGTATAAGCAAATACTGTATAACTAGTTATTTATTCATTAGACCATAGATTGGTTCGTGTTTATTGAAAAAATGATGTCATGATGTCATAAAGCTAACATTTAGAGGGAGAGATATTCTCACGTCTGTTAGATAATAAGGACTTTGCATACAAGCATGAGGCCTAATACCTTTTTCTGTTGCCTAACAAAGTATGTAGAGAGCAGGAAACAGAAAGGCCTTGGATGTGGATTATGAAAAACATGATTTTGTGCTGATTAGAAGAAGTGAGTGAGTGGTCCCTCTCATGGGCTTTGTAAGTACTGAAGATGTCAGGGGG